TTTCTTGGTGTGGCTAGACCCCAATGACCCACAGGAAGGAGAAACACACAGCAAAGTAGACAAGGGCTAAGAGAGTCACCCAAGCCTACCCCCCCTTCCAATTTGGGAGAACACGAGGGGGTTGGGTCATGGTCACAGATCTCATAGAATCATAGAGTCATAGGACTGGAAGGGACCTCGAGAGGTCATCGAGTCCAGCCCCCCGCCCTCAAGGCAGGACCAAGCTCCGTCTACACCATCCCTGACAGATGTTTATCTAACCTGTTCTTAGACATCTCCAGAGAGGGAGATTCCACCCCTCCCTTGGCAATTTATTCCAATATTTGACCACCCTGACAGTTAGGAATTTTTTCCTAATGTCCAATCTAAACTTCCCTTGCTGCACTTTAAGCCCATTATTCCTTGTCCTGTCCTCAGAAACCAAGAGGAACACATTTTCTCCTTCCTCCTTGTGACCCCCTTTTAGATATTTGAAAACCGCTATCATGTCCCCCCTTAATCTTCTTTTTTCCAAACTAAACAAGCCCAGTTCATGAAGCCTGGCTTCATAGGTCATGTTCTCTAGACCTTCAATCATTCTTGTCGCTCTTCTCTGTACCCTTTGTAGTACAAAGGGTAGTACACTAGAAAAAAAGACAGAGTTTGTCTGAACAATCAAGTTTCACCAGTCTGAATTTAAATTCGTTTTAATCTTGTGTGGATACTCTTTTGGTTTGAGTCTCTGACTCTGTCCCTCTCTCTCTCTCTCTCTGGCTTAATTTAAATCACTTGAGAAGAATTTTGGCTTATTTTGGTTTAACTAGTCCTCAACCAAAAGACGAGAATTCACACAGGGATTTACACCAGTTTAAAAACCGATTTCATTTAAAATCGGTGCAATTTACCCCGTGTGAACAAAGAAACAGAGGGCTAGGTACACCGCTAATGTAAACCAAAGTGACACCTGCACTAATGTACACCAGGGAAGATTCTAGCTCCCACTATGTCTAGAAAAAGAATAACATTTTTTTAACAGCAGCCCTCAACAATCGAATAAAATAATAATGACAAATTGCCAGATTATTTCCAGACTCCAAACTGGAGTGAAAATGCTTCATCACTAAAGGAAGATGAGTCAGGGAAGAGCAAGAGATGAGAACTGGCGTTTTGAAGGCTCTACTGCAAACAGGAATGAACTGAGGGAATCCTGTGACTTGTGTTACACAGGACTAGACAAGATGATCACAATGAAACCGCCTCCCCTCCCCCGCCTGAGAATCTATGAATGAAGGGCTAAATGAAGGGGCTGTAGCAATCTAAAGAGAGGTCTGGGAGGCAGGTATATTGCCATGGACATCTGAATGTGCTACCGCCCCACTGAAGAGTCAGGGGGATCGCCACAAGTCCCTGTAGGACACATAGTGATACACATAGGTGAGGACTCTGTAGATGCTCTGGGGCTGGCACTAGCACCCAACCCCCCACTTGCTGCATCCCTCCCCACCCTGCGCCTCTCTCCCGCTGGTGGCCCCACTGATCTATTCCTCCCCCGCTCTCCCAGTGCATCTGGAGCATCGCTAACAGCTGATGGAATATGCAGTGTTCAGGAAACTCTGGAGAATAGGGATGGGATGCATTCAGGGGAGGAGATGGCCTGGAGGCTAGAAGCGGTGGGGAGGGGGCAGGGGATTGGGAGAAGGGGTGGAAAGGGGCAGGGAGGGGCAGAGCAGGGGGAAGAGGCAGGGCAGAGGCAGCTTCTTAGGAGAAGGTGTGGAGTGGGGACAGGGCCTGGAGTGGAGAGGGGGCCAGCACCCCCTGACTAGAGGGGAAGTCAGCACCTATGGTATCCCAAAACTTGCAATCAGATCAATGTGACCCTTAAAACAGTTGGGTCTCATGTCAAGATTAAGCCCCCTCATTATAACTGGCAGCTTCACACCCATGGCCATGTGCTGGAATAAGCATCATCACACAACAGAAATTCTCTAAAAATATAAAGGTTTAGGGAGAACATTGGAGCAGCCATCCCAGGTAAAGCCAATAGTCCATCTAGCCCAGTATCCTGTCTTCAGACAGTGGCGAGTGCCAGATGCTTCTGAGGGAATGAATAAGGCTATTGTAGAGTAATCTGTTGCATCCCTGACTATCATGAATGGATCTATCTTCCAGGAACTTATCTAATTCATATTTTAACCCAGTTTTATTTTTGGTCTTCATGTCACCTGGCAGTGAATTCCATAGGCTGACTGGGCAGTGAGTGATGATCTTCCTTTCATTTGGTTTTAACCTGCTGCATATTCATTTTATTAGCTAACTCCTGGCTCTTACGTTATGCGAAGGAGCAAATGACATTGTCCCCACCCCAGTCCGCACCTTGTTTATAGCCTCTATCATATCTCCCCCTGGTCATTTCTCTTCCACGCTGAATAGTCCCAGTCTTTTTAATCTCTCCTCCTAGAGGAGCTGTTCCATGCCCCTAAACCAGACTTAATTTGTGCCAGGGATTGTGAGCCAGGGGAACTCTTGGCTTGGCAGGTCATAGCCCTGATGCCTGTGATCTTACTGTATCAGTTATGAACATAAAAAATTGCCCCAATATCTAATTGCTTGAATCCTGGCACCTCTTTCATTGCAAATTACCAATCCCCTTCATCATTTTTGTTGCTTTTTGCTGTACCTTTTCCAGTTCTGGGTTCTTGCTGCTGTTTTTGAGATGGGACAGCCAGAACCACGTGCAGTATTCGAGCTGTGGATTTATATTGTGGCATTATATTTACCATCTTATTATCTATCTCTTTCCCAGATCAGATCTACCGTGAAGGGAACATATTGAGCCAGTATTTTTGGAGAACTACTCACAATGACTCCAAGATCTCCTTCTTGAGTGGCAACAGCTAATTTAGACCCCCTTGTTGTATATGGATAGCTGGAATTATGTTTTCTAACGTGCATTACTTTACATTTATCAACAATGAATTTCATCTATTTTGTTGCCCAGTCACCCAGGTTCATGAGAGCTCTTCAAACCTCTTTGTAGACTGTTTTGGACTGAGCAGACAGAATAGATCATGTGATGATTATCTGTTGTATTCATTCCCTTTGGGGCACTGTCGGAAAACAGGAGACTGGGATAGATGGACCTTTAAGCTGATCTAGTAGTGCCGTTCTTATGTTCTTAACTATCTTGAGTAGTTTTGTAGCATCATCTGCAATCTTTGTCACCACACCATTTACTCCTTTTTCCAGATCATTTATGAATATGTTGAATGGGATTGATCCCAGTACAGGTCCCTATGGGACACCATTGTTTACCTCTTTTCATTCTGATCATTTATTCCTACTTTTTGTTTCCTACCTTTTAACCAGTTTAACCATGAAAGGATCTTCCCTCTTAGCCCATGACTTTATACTTTGCAAAGGAGCTTTTGGTGAGGGCCCTTGTCAAAGATTTTCTGAAAATCTAAGTTCACTATAACCACTGGATCATCTTTGTCCACATAGAATCATAGAACACTAGAACTGGAAGGGACCTCGAGAGGTCATCGAGTCTAGTCCCCTGACCTCACAGCAAGACCAAACACTGTCTAGATCATCATCGATAGAAGTCTGTGCAACATGCTCTTAAATATCTCTAGTGGTGGAGATCCCACAACCTCCATAGGCAATTTATTCCAGTGTTTAACCACCCTGATTTTATCTGGGATAAAGTCCCTACTGCAACACTAATGACTTGTAATTGCTAGATTTCTTTCCCTGACAGGAAAATAGCACTTTTAAAAAGAAAGGAAACAGAAGCCAACAGGAGTCTGTTCTTGTCTTTACTGAATAAATACAAATAAAGAGCTACAATGAGCTTGAACTCTGAGCACTTACAGGACCATAAATACAGTCATATAAATACATCATAATAAATAGAGCTATAAACATTCAATAGTTCTTTGCTATTTCTCCTGGGGTTTTCCATCTCTGTTGTATTTCTTGCTAAACTCCAGCAAAAGCCAGTGACTCCACTTTGCCGCTCATTTACACGGATATATATCAGGAGTGATGCCAGTGAAATCACATGGATTTATAATGGGTTGAAACCAGTGCAAGACAGATTGGAATCAGGCCCACGCTCTCCTAAGCAGAGCCACACTAGAAACAGTTGTGGGTATAGCAAAGTGAATTTGAGGTGAGATTTTTTTTTAAATATTTCTATAAGGAAAAAACCTGAGTATTGGTGCATTTATATTAGCATAAAGGTATGTTTGCCAGCATACAAAAACATTTCACCAGCCAATTACAGAGAGAGAGTGCAGAATTGCTATTCGCGTGACTGTTTCTCTAGGCTTGAACAAAGACATTAACTGGATGTCCCATTATAAAACCAATCTCCCCTGCTTCTAACAACTGATTTTCACATCAAAAGCTACAAATAGGACACTTTCAGCCCACTTAATTAGCCTCATTAGCACTGGCCCTCCAATTGACAGGTATTATTCCCCCTCCAAGTGACAGGTACTTTTCCCCCCTCTGTTATGAATACTTGGTTCTGTTATTTCACTCCAGCTCATCATCTGATGAAGTGGTGCCACAGGACTACTCGTTGCTTTTAAAGTTTTAGACTAATTGGGACTTTTTGCCAGCATGGTTTATTTCCCTTGCTAAACCAAGATAAGCTATACCGGCAAATGCATTAGGAGGGTGTCCTGGAAAACTCTTTCTAGGGTAGAGCTAGTCTTACATGTATTGTCAGTTTTCTTAGATACAGACGTACACACACAAAATGGTTTGGGAGTATAGTTGTGCTCTCTCACAAATAAGTTACATCTCCTGTTCTCCTTCCTCTTGTATGCTGCTTGTCTTCTTTCAGGACATGGTCCACTTCTATTTTTATGTCAATACAGTGCCTAGTACAATGGGGCCCGTGTTCAGAGTCTGGAGGCCCTACTATAATATAAATATTAATTAATAACAATAATAATAATCCACACTGGAAGCCCACCCCACCCCCAACCGCCCCAAAAAAAAACCCAGATTTTAAATTGAAAAGTCCGGTTGAGTTTCATGAGGATCCAACAGACTTGGGGCTCCAATGAGACCAATCACGAATGTGTACACCCCTCATTGGTTAGCTGTCCATGTTCCTTCCCAGTCCTGACCCACAAGCTCTTCTTAGGACTGATATCGGAGAACAGGCACGGCACAGGTGCAGCCCACCGTGATGAGTTGTTTCTCCAGCCGGTAGGTGTGTTGGCAGCCTCTCTGCTCCCGTCGGAGAACGAGGATCTCCTGCTGGATGGGGACTGAGTTCATGCTGTGGTCCTCCTGCCCCAAGGCCGTCACACAGCTGTAATGACGGCACTTGGCTTCAGCGATCACTTCAGGGAACCGGTTGGGATCCTTGGTGATGCTAGGAATCAAGACACAAAAGACAATGAATCCTGAAATATTCCTTGAAGGACAATGCAGATCGGCAGCGTCAAAGTCCATGAATCACTCAACAAAATGATGTTTTTTCTCACCCAAAAACCTATTTCCAAATGGGGTGACCAGACAGCAAGTGTGAAAAATCGGGATGGGGTGAGGAGCAATAAGCACTTATATAAGACAAAGCCCTGAATATTGGGATGGTCCCTATAAAATAGACACAACTGGCCACCCTATTCCCAAATTAGATTGATGCAGGATGCTTCCGGGGAAGCATACAGATGATGCACTTAACTTCATAACCACACAGTACACAACCTTGCAGTTAATTCACAAGCCAAAGCTAGTGATCAAGTTTTAGCCTGAAGCAAACAAACTTGGTAGGGCTCGTAATTTTATTCTACTTAATAAATAAGATAGATGATCTTCTTAGTTCTATACCTCGCTATGCTTACTAGAAATTTTCCCCAAAGGATATTGGCATGACCAGAACAGATCAGACCAATGGTCTCTCTAATCCACAATCCTGTCTACAACAGGCATAGAAAACTCTGTCACAGTGAGTTTCCTAGGTGCATTATACACTGTGTAAAAGAGGCTACCTTCTATTCATGTTATATGTTTATCCTTTTTATCCCTTTATCTGCCAACTGATCCTCATCAGAAGACCAGGTAAAAACAGCCTCCCCGTGTTAGGTATTTTTAGATTTCCTAGAAATGGCTGAAAAATTCAGAGTGTTTTTATTCTGATGTATCAGATAAATACAGACATGCTCTGTCTGAGGATACCTACTGGAATCTCCTGGCAAATGCACTTAGGAACCAGCTGGAGAGAGACTCTATGGATCGGGCCTTCATATGCAAATATAACCCAAAGTCTGAACAAAGACAAGTCTCAGATGGGCCGTTATATTCAACATCCAAATGACATCAAAAGCTAAGTATCGGGAACTCACAACCCACTCTATTAGCTTCATTTAGCACAGACACTTTGTTTTTCCCCTTCCTTCTCTTTCCTCTTTTCTGCTATATACTTGTACCCCTGGACTTCTTGTTCCATATTTGTCATCTGAAGAAGTAGGTTGTGCCCACAAAAGCTCATGATACTATTTATATTGTTAGGTTAGTCTCTAAGGGTATGTCTAGACTGCATCCCTCTGTTGGCAGAGGGATGCAGATTAGGCAGGTCGACATTGCAAATGAGGCAGGGATTTAAATATCCCATGACTAATTTGCATAAAATGGCTGCCACGTTTTGCCGACTCAGCACTTTGTCGGCAAAAAGCGGCAGTCTAGAGGGGGATCTGTCGAGAAAGAAAGCCTTTTTCGACAGATCCCTTATGCCTCCTGCAAGGAGGTTTACAGGATTTGTCAAAAAAGGCTTTCTTTCTCGATAGATTCCCCTCTAGACTGCCGCTTTTTGCCGACAAAGTGCTGAGTTGGCAAAATGTGGTGGCCATTTTTATGCAAATTAAGGAAGGGATATTTAAATCCCTGCTTCATTTGCAATGTCAACCTGCCTAATCTGCATCCCTCTGCCAACAGACGGATGCAGTCTAGACATACCCTAAGGTGCAACAGGATCATTAATTGCTTTTTTAAGTTTTTTTACTTACAGACTAACACAGCTCCCACTCTGAGGCAGTACCCTTGGCAAATGCCAACACCACCAAAGATCTAGTTTCTGATGGGAATGTACAAACAATTGGGCCATGCAGTGTGGCCAGTGCCTTTCCAGCTAATGGGGACGTGTATATTACCTGTAATCCCAAGGAGAAATAGACCGGTTCCTGACATCATGAGCCACTCTAGTAACATAATTGGGGCTGCTGATGTGTATGTTGACTTTCACACTTGGAGGGAACCTGGAGTTCTTTTGCATTGGACAACCATCGTTCATTGTCCCGTCGGCACCTCCCTCCTTATGGCGTCTGGATCGTACAGCCTTTCCGTGGGCTGAATTCTTAGCCGAGAGCACCAGGATCAGCACTAGCAGCAGGGTCCTGACCTGAAAGAGAGAAACATCTTCCTTGAGTCTGTTCAGGTCAGAGTTTGGCATTCACGAGGGCACGAAACAACACCAGTGATGCCTCACTCGAGAATCTCTTGTGAAGCATGAATGGAAAAGCAAAGCACAAGTGAGGCATGGTGAATAGTAAGAAAGTAAGAAGGACCATACTGGGTCAGATCAAAGGCGTGATCCATCCCCTTTCACCCATTCCCAGCCCTGACAAACAGAGGCTAGGGGACACCATCCCTACCCATCCTGGCTAATAGCCATTGATGGACCTAACCTCCATGAATGTATCTAGCTCTTTTTTGAACCCTGTCAAAATTGTATATGGCTAAAGCAAAGTCTCCATCACAAATAATTTGTAAGAGAAGACACCAATCGCTAGGGTATGTGTTATGAATGGATTGTAACCAACTACCAATTATGGATCTCAGTTGGAAGTCAGAAAATCCAACAAGAAAGAAGGGTAGACCTAGGATGACTTGAAAGTCTATGATTATCGATGACATAGAACAAAATCATTTGAAATGGGAGGATTTAGATCACATGGCATCTGATAAGCAAGCATGGAGAATGTGGGCAGCCCAATGTGCTGAAAAGCACAGGAAAGACTAAGATCTAAGGTAAAGTTCTGGTCTTCACAACATTCTCTAGCAAGGAGTTCCATAGGATGAGTGTTTTAAAATGAAGGCCAATTGGATCAGATTACTATTCACCCTCAACTCTAGTTTAGCTGGGTATAACACACTGGCCGAAGTAGCAGTAGAGGGTTATGCTGCCTCCAATGGAAGACAATCAAAGATGGACAGAGCCCAATGTTTTCAAGGAAATCTTTTTTAGGGTTATCTTTCTGTTTAAAAAAAATAATATTTTCACAAAACAGAGATGCAGAAATCCACAACACAGAGATGTATAAATGAGAGATGTACAAAGCAGAGATGCATGAAGCAGAGCTGCAAAGATGCCGAAAGCAGCGATGTACAAAGCAGTGATGCAGAGATGCACAAAGCACAGCTGCAAAGATGCAGAAAGCAGAAATGCATAAAGCAGCAGAGATGCAAAAAGCAGAGAAGCAGAGATGCACAAAGGAGTGACGCACAAATGCACAAAGCAGAGATGCACAAAGCAGTGATGTAGAGATGTGCAAAGCAGAGATGCCTCTTCTAAGACCAATGACAGGCCCTGCTCTTGGGTTAATTATCATCAGTCTAAAGGACACAAAGCTGGATATGGAAAAGAAGCAGCTAGATGCTTAGCACAGCTGGAAAATCGGGCCACTTCAGAGCCTAAATACTGATGATAAAAACATGGAGATATACCTGTCTAATAGAAATGGAAGGAACCTTAAGAGATCATTGAGTGCAATCCCCCTGCCCTCACATCAGCACCAAGTACCATCCCTTACAGGTCTGCCCCAGATCCCTAAACCATCCTCTCAAGCATTGATCTCATAACCCTGGATGCAGCAGGCCAATGCTGAAACCACTAAGCTATCCCTCTCATCCCCCTCTTAGATGCTACCATTTGAACACTTTGGCGACAGAGACTTGCCCAGAACCTGGCGGTAGAAATGGAACCCAGGCTCCCTAGCTCAGTGCAGAAAGCTTCCGCTGCTGCCCACTTCCATTGTCACAGCCTTTTTTACACTTCTCCCCGTCCCCTACTCTCTTTTACTGCGTCTGGTACAGTCCTTTGCAATGCAAAGTCCAGTGCCTCATCCCCATTCTCTCTGTACATGCTGAGGAGAAGGGCACGGTGCAATCCAGCAAGGAGGCACTGGGTGCACCATCACCAGGAGCAAAGCTAATCCGACGGTGGAGGGTTAAGGCAAAGGGAGCAAGCTGATGAGAGGTGGGTCAGCCACAGCAAATCTCTGTCCTTAGAAAGCAGAAAAACAGGATCAGAGAGAACCAGCTACACAAAGGTTGGATTTGGATCCGGATCTGGATCAGAATGTTCCCAAAGTCCAGGGGCGTCAGATCTGGAGGGTTTGCTGCAGATCCATAACCCAGGATGTGAAATGGGGCCAGGGTGAGCAGGTTTGGATGAGCTTGAAGGCTGAAGATTGGGGCAATCTAATCAGACCTTAGAAGGTGACAGCACACCTGGGCACTGCGGAATGCTGCTCCGTCGCTCTTGGCTGAGGCTTTCCAAAGGGGAGTGCAGCTTTTAAATCCATAGATTCTCTGATGAGCCATGCACCCCCACAAAATCAGGGACAGCCAAATTTAAATGCTCTGCGTTAATACGCTTCAGAGAGGCAGGGGTCTCCTCCACAGCTCTCTGCCACAGCACATCAGCTGCGACTCACAAGTAACATCCCAGCTCTGCCAAGCCCAGGCCTTCATGCTACTCTGCTCCAGCCTCACACTCCTGACCTGCCATAGTGGGCTGCGGGAAATTTCAGCCACACCCATGATCAATGGACATCCGGCTAACTTAAATCATGCCGGACCACGGATGTTGCCGGACCAGAGAGTGCCGGACTAGAGAGGTTGAAGCTGTAGTGTGAACCTGCAAGTGACCCATGCCCCATGCTGCAAAGGAAAGTGAAAAAGCATCCACTCTCTTCCAGTCTGACCAGAGGAAAATTCCTTCCCTGCTCCAGATATGGGGATCAACTAGACCCTGGGCATTCCAGCAAGATCCACCAGCCAGGGACCTAGGAAATAATTCTCTGTTGTAACGCAGAGTCCCCGTGTAGTGTCCCAGTACTGTCTCTGTCTGTGTACTCATACAGTGCCACCCCCAATCAGGACCAGTAAGTGGCACCGTCAGTACAACCAACTAACAAGAACACACAGGCCTGTCCCCCTCAGAAGGGCTCCTCTCAGACCAGGCTGGGGGTACGTCTCCCACTGCCCGTGCTGTAGCCCCTCTCTGGTGGAGACATGGCAGCGGTAAGTCCCCAGCTCTTCTAACCCAGCCCTTCTCCCCAGCACTCCATCCACTTTGAAAGCTTTAAAGAAAATCCCAAACTCATTCCACTGCAGGAGAGCTGGTGTGAGCAGCTCCCACTGCCGGCAAGAGGAGTCATTCAGAGGTAGCATCAGCATAAACTCTCGGTTTCCGAAGGAGCGAGACTGGCGGCCAGCTGAGTTAGCTAAAAGTACTCACCAGTGTGGGGTGTCTTGCAAAAGCCATTCCAAGCTCTCTTCTTCGGCAGAGTGGGACTGTCAGACGCAGTGAGGGAGCACCCGTCGCTGGCTCTTTCAGCCTGAATCTCTACCCGTCAGCCCAGACGCAGCTCCTTTTTATACTGGTGTTCAATCACAACCATCATTTCCACTGCAGCAAGGAGGAGGCTTTCCTGCCCTCACTTGTGGATCTGGGTCAGGAGGAGCTGACATCTGACTTTTTCTGTGCCACATCCTCAAGCTGACACAGGAGGCAGGAGGAAAAGTACATGAAATCAACCATCTACCTCAGAATCGGAATCCCAGCCCAACTGATCAGATCACACAGATAAAGCGAGAGAGAAGAGAGAAAATAGCCCGAAAGAGATGCAGAACAGTGCCCTCCATATTTGCACTTGAGTTGTCAGCATTTTTCTGTCATCATATTAGTCAAGTCTCGCTCCACACGTATGCCACAAATACCTATGTAGATATACAGATATACAGCATACAAAAATCTGCATCAAAGAATATAAAGATCACAAAGTCAAGCACTCCAAAGTCAGATTGCTTGTGTCACTTTAATTGAGTACCTCGGCATGAGGATACAGTCTTTAAACTTGATGATCATTTGTTATTTCCTCTACAGATCCCCGACCACATTTTGGACAATGCCTGGGGCAGCAGGCGACCAGAAAAAGAAGGATGTTCTCTTGTGATTAAAGATACGGGGGACTAGTTGATATTCCTGACTTATTACTATGATATGTTGCTTTGCCCATGATCAAGAATTGCTTTGGAAAGCTCTTGGACTCTTATATTTTGGATCAAGGGCTTGAAACTTGGCAGGGGATCAAGGGCTTGAAACTTGTCTTGTGTCAAGGAGGGAGGGGTGCTTTTAAGTGTTCCCAAGAAAATCTTCCCACCTTTAATTAAGTCTGAAAAACTTTGAAACTCCAATTCCCCCCACAGGCTCAGCAGAGACTTGTCAGAGCTGAACAGTTACAATCACTGAGGAGTCTACCCTCCCAAAGCATGTTGGAGCCTCTCTCAGGTCCTTATAGTGCTGACCAGCTGAACATGGTCCAAGGGTGACATGGGCCAAGTTGGACTTGGCCTCTTATGGCTGTCTCCAGGCCAGGGTGGAGCTGGGAAGCAGACCTGAAAGCAGGGAACCTGCTTCTCTTATGCTCTCAGCAACGTCTCTGCTGCCACCCAGGCAGTGTGGAAGAGGAAATCTGGCTCAAATGCAGAGGGGACAAGGTCTGGACAGAGGAGGAGGGGGTGCGTGAAGTAGATTGGGACAAGAAGCTGAGGTGGAAGAAGTCTGGGAGTGGGTGCTAATATGGAGGAGGGAAGGAAGCTGGCAGGTGTGCAGTGAATGAGGCAGGGGACTGAAGGAAGAGAAAGGATGGTCTGCCAGAGAACTAACGTCATTCCCTCCCTCTGCCACAGAGTTCCTGTGTGGTGCTGGGCAAGTCACTTAAACCAAACTCTTCACAGGTGGTTACTAATTGTGTGTGCCTCATGTTCTGGATGCCTGCCTTGAGTCCCCGCAGCCTGATTTGCAGAAGGGCTGAGTACTCGTAGCTGCAAATGAAATCAATGCCAACTGTGTTTTGACCATTTAGAGGGCGAAAAGGCAAGTCCCAATGCAACTCAAACTTGGCATTCAAAGTTGGTGTCTACTTTTGACCTTAATTTCCCATCTCAATTCCTCAGCTAATACCTGGGGTAATACCAGCCCCTTCTCAGAGGGGTATATGAAAATATATTAATTAATGTGTGTGAAGCACACAGATGCTGTTGTGATGATCACCATAGAAAAGCCCCGGAGGCAATTAGTAATTCTGTCTTCTGGGTAGGGTTCACGTTGAACAATGCAAATAAATTGAATATTGAATGATTGCTCGTCTATCCTCCCACCAAATGGGGCAGGAGTCTGTGGGAAAAAATACTACGTGAACACGTAATTAAAATCTCTGTCATAATGCACAGGCACAAGGGAACCAGA